CACTCTGATCCCATCTGGCGGCCATCATTTAAAAATCATGAAAAATGCTTCACTATTTTTTTCGTTATCTTTGCTAGACTTTGTTTTATTGTATGCATACCTGGTACTAAGGAAAGAAACAAACGAAGAACAAAGAGATAAGCAATACCTTTGTAGGAGCCCAAACTCAGGCTGTACTTGGCTCGTTCACTGGCCACAGCAAAGTAATCGTACTCGGCATACGCGGTCTTTCCTTTGGTATCTTCCAGGTCAACACGAAGACGGTTTCTTCTTTGATGGGTCAGTCGTTTGATCTTATCGAGACCCAACCAGAACTCGCCTTTAAGATCTCCAAATCCATTCTTATAGTCGTTCCATCCTCGGTAAAAGTTTACCGAACCGTCTTGTCTTTTCTGGAAAACCGTCCACCCTCCGCCATCGGTCTTTTGGTCACAGTAAACCTGGAAATTGAATGGACGCTTGAGGTCTTGATATGATTATATATTTCTATAGCTAACTTTTTATTGTGATTGTACAGTCTTTGGGCACATAAGAATTGTTCAAACTAATGCTTTTATTTGTATTGCATATATATAGGCATACTTTAAATTTCTTTATTTTAGATATGATTTTATAGCAAAAACGTAAAAAAATGGAGGACTATTACCTTGAATCTTCCTTTGCCATCTGGGTCGATGGTATAGACACCGCTTTGTTTAAAACCGCGTTTACGGAGTTCTTTACAGTTCTTGAACACTATATAAAATCAAATAAACTATTGTTTATATAAGTGGATAACTGCGAAGTGTTCTTTTTTACCGTACCTCTAATCTTTCGTTAATTTATCTATAGCTTTAACCTATACCTATATTTTGATATCATATAATTATCTATAAAATACCTATATTTCTCCATTACTTAAAGTTGTTAGTGATTTTCACTGGTGAAATTAACACATTCGTGGTATTTCTATATATTCAGCCGTAGATAAGTTATTTTAAACATCTCTTGATTTCATTGTTAATTATATGACAAAGAGAACTCTATTACATGGTCGCTTGGAGATACGAATTTTATCTTTGACAGTTGAAAGGATTAGGATTGATTTTCTTAGAATGTTTCTACAAAAATGGCACTTCAGACCGGCGTCAAATAAAATTATTAACTTCAGAGTATTACAAAACAATACCAACTATTTAAAAGGAAAGCAATTTGATGATTTCGTACAATTCGCCGCAAAAGTACACAGAACTGTCACAGAGTTTCGGACTACCAAGTTAAATGACAACGAGAAGAATGGCCGTATAAAAAACAACTGCTATCAATAGCTATCAATAGCTATCAATAGCCGACTTGCGAATTACGCATCAATAGTCACATACAAAGGAATCAAGACGAGGCGCCGTGCTTTTTTGTGAAAAATCTATTGTCTTTAGCACGGCGCCTCGTCTTGATTCCTTTGTATGTGACTATTGATGCGTAATTCGCAAGTCGGCTAGCTCTCACTTAAATTCGTTAGCTAACGTAAACAAACTGAATGATTAAGTAACGAAGAAAGAAAGTGTGTCAACTATACCTTTGCCGCCACCTCCTTTGGATGGTTTTCCATTTCCTTTTACCTTTCCATAAATTTCATACAGCATGTTCGCCAATGCCACAAAGTAATTTCGAACACTTTTAGAGTCAGGGGGATGCAGAACGATTGATTTTGAGGGATATGGTTGGCCTTCGTGTACAAACACCAGGCCAACAATCATCAAACATAAGCCAAAAAACTTCATTTCACAAATAGTCGGACTTGTTCAGTTTTGGTGTAAACTCAACGAGGTTAGTACTGAGAGTGATGTAGTTTGTATTCAGAGACAACAGTTTATGCTGTCTTACTTTTGAGTGTTAAAACATGTATTCCTAACATGTTACGGTTTTCAACTATTGCTAGAAAATTCTCAATTGTCCAGCTGACTACTGAAATATAAATATTTTTGAATCAAAAGATGGCTACAGCAAATTGAAGAGACGTTTACCTGGTCGGCAGTTGCAGCAAAGGCCGAAGTGGCATATGGGATACCAGCTGGTAAAGAGATGTTCAATGTAATAACCATTTTGAAATAAAACATTCAAAAATTGGACGCCAATGAAGTTATTTACTACTATATCTTAATTAATTAAATATTTTTTTACTTGGATTTCGTAGTGCAATTCATAAACAATCTATTATCTGCCTTTTAAACTGACAACTCATCTTTAACTCGGTGTATGATGTCACAGACAGTATGTGACAACGCAGTCGGTAGTAATTAAAACGCCGAAAATGATGGGAAACCAGCCGAATCGCTTATCAAAGGGTATCTATAGTTAAGAGCCCAAATCGTTCAAAGACGCGCTTTTACGCATTGCTCTAACTTCATCAAGGGAATCACAATTCTAAACGCATTTAGCATCGACAGTAGGGCATATTTAAGGAGATTTCTTTCGACCGTAAAAGAATATTCTAATAATGTAACCAGATAGACGATCATTATGTTTCCATTTTCGACAAAAATTCTCTTCAAGAGATTTGAGTACATACGTTTAGTTTAGAGCATTTCTTTAAGGAATATCTTTACCACCAAAACATTATAAACGTCAGTATACAAAAATACTATTTTACTACCGCCTTTTGATTGGTT